GGTTATCCAATTTCATGAGGCATCAAGAGAATCAATTTATGTGAAGGAGCAAATTAGCCCAGACAACCACTCCCCCAATGTAAAAAAAAAAAAGTAGCCAAATCTTATTTGTTTCGCCACATTGTGTAATTGGTAATGAAATTCAATTAGTTTTTTGCAGCATTTTCTCTTAAATTATAGACCAAAAACTAAAGGCATGTTGATAATAAACTAACATAACCAGATTAATTCAGCTTAAGCCAACAGGTTATCTATAAAAACCTTAAAACTATCCCATATTGCTGCCTCAGCCAACTGCAGCTTTTGAAAATGCTTGTTTGAAATTCTGGTTAATAAAAATACAGAAAACAAGCTTTCTTTCACTGCTAAAACTATTTAAATGCTATGGTTATTTTTTCAAGAATATTATGTGTATGAGCTGAGATGCAAGACATTTTACCAATAATTTAGAGGTTACATCTGTAGTTATGAGATCGTTTCTTATAAGAGGAGGTTGATAATGAAAGTGATGCAGAATGTTGTATTATGCCAGACATAGTAGAAAATGATTTAGAGTGCACTGATTATGATAATTCCAGTGATGAGTTTTTTTTAGGGAAACTTATTAATAAAGTTGGAATCATCAACCAATACTTTTAAAAATAATTTTCCTTGTTCTTTAGCTCACATTGGTATAATTAGGTACTCCAAACTGCCGAAAATAGAGGTTTCTGCTCATTTTCTTTACTTTTTCCCTACTTTCCATCACAAAGTTCTCCCATAAAAATTAAGCGTATACTAATAAAAATGGTATGGTTAGAAAGCTTAACTTAAGCTCTACAATGATGTGTTGTTTGTTTTTATATTGGTAAAGGAAGAATACATGTTTTTGTAGCTTGAAAAACATCACCGCAACGATTTTTATCGGCAAAATGATAGACCCGTTTTTACCCCTATCGCATTCTGACGCTTTGCGCTTCGGCGCCACGTGACGTATGAATTCTAAACATAGCTTATCGTACGCAGGATTGAATGACCTTTAGTCTCGTATAAAATGTTAACAAATTATGTTAGTAAAAACGGTTTAATTCTCAAATTTTCTACGAAAAATTGAATTTTCACCAAAATCCACTAAGAATACAAATTTTCTACTAGCATGGTTAGAAAGATCGTCCATTTTTCTATTTAAATGCGAAACTATCTTTACAATATCAAAGATGGCGCGAATGGCAAAGCGCGATAACGAAACCATGTGTAACTCCCGTTCGCCGACGCGATCACGAAATTTTTTACAAAGAAAATAAAAGCCCGCCCCGGATCAGACCCCTGACGTGTTTGAATAGAAATCTATTTTTTCTTACGCATTATATCACAATAAAAACAGTTCAATATTAAAAAGAATACAATAAAATATGAAAATATTCAAGTATTTATAATTTAAAACTAAACTTTATCTGTAAAATTTGAATATATTTAGTAAAAGGTCACGCTGACCTAGTTTTTCGACCGGCAACGTTTCGAGAGAAAACTACAGAAAATTGCGATAAAAACGCTAATAAGAACTGATTATCCGATTTAAAATGTCCAAACTATCTGCTAAATATATAATTCAATTAGTCTTTACAGTTATGGGTATACTTTATCACACTGTGTTTCTTTTTTCTTCATTTACGGGTTGTAATTTGCTAAAAATAAGTCTAAAATAGGTTGTCTATTTTTAATCTCGGCCCGATTTTAATTCTGAAATCGTGCATTTTTATTAACGTTTTTCAGCGATCTAACACTAAATTATTTCACTGAGAATGTTTCTTTTTAAATGTAGATTAACTGTAGTTACAAATAAATAACTTTTTCTATATATCTGTTAAGTTTTAGTAATTCTTTGTCAATTTAAAAAAACGGACTTAAAGCCGTGTTGAGGTATAAAATGTTCACCCCCACCTTATTTTCTCAAATCTGGACATTTAACTGCATGATTTATAGCACTCAATTTAATTTACATAATTAGGTAACATTTTCCCCTTTAAATCGATATAAAGGTGATTATTGTGCATGCAATAGAAGAATTTTAGTGGTTTTGTGAAAGTTGGTGATTTTTTAGTTTTTTTTCGCCCTGTCAAATTTTTGGTAAATATGGTGTAGTACGATTTTTAAGACAAAAAACGTTTATCTTTAACTTGTTATACTAGTTTGAAAAAAATTGAGACTACAATCTATCTACTCTTTTATTGGAATTAAGTTAGATAATGGATATAGCTGCTATAGTTTTTGAGATAATCGGTGCTAAAGTCGGGTCCTCATGAGGCCGTAAAAGGTAAAAAAAAACGCGTGTTTCTTAAGCGCATAACTTTTTTTCTAATTGTCCTACAGACATAAAGTTGGTATCCATGTTCTTAGAATTATTAGTACTATGCAGAAAAACCAAAGCCATTATTGTGTGACTGATTTGAAAAATCCGTTTGGAGTACCTAGTATAATACGTTTTTATTTACGATGTAATTTATGGATTTAATGTTATGAATGTTAATAAAGAAGAAAAGTTTAGATATTTTAAAATGTTTAATATTTTTTTAAATAGTCGTGTAACAGTCCTTTTCTTTGGATTAGAGTAGTGACAGTGCAGGTTAAAATATAGAGCTCTTTGGAAAATAAGCAATGAGAGTCATACTTTATTGAGGTATAGCCCAGATGCAATAATTTTTACATTACTTTGTTATATAACATGTGAACTGGTGGACAAAGGTGCAGTTCAAAATACATGAATAATGTATGAAAATCCAACTAAATCAGTATTCACTATCTGTTGGATGTATGGATACATTATCCAGACAAGTGTTAAGAAATAACCAACAGAATGAAGTTTTGGACTGTGCTATAGGCCTAGATGTTATTTATTTTATAGCTTTACTTACAGTGTTGCCCAGCATGTTTTAAGTGCTAATGCAGCTTTCAATTTTATGGTAATAGTTTATATTGTGACATCATTTCTTCCGTGCATTTAGATCTTGCATATAGTTTTGAACTTATTTGTGTGTCCAGCCTTTTATTTAGGTTTAGTGTATAGTTCTGAAATTATTTTTGTGTCCAAAAAACTGATAGGTTTAAGAGAAAACCAACTTCTTAATTAATAAGCTTTCTTTATTTGTTTGTATTTAAGTTAGGGTACTTAAAAGAAAATATATGCATGCATCAGGGACTCTTCTGGGTTGCTGTGGTTACGGTGGCCATCTTGAAAAAAAAACACCCCAGCCTTTGGTAAAGGTCTCAAGGTTAAAAACTAACATATACATTGATCATATAATCATCTATCCTTTTTTTTTTTTTTACTAAAATCTAATAGTTAACTGACTAGTTTTTTTTTAACAGAATACACCCTAGAAATATTTTTTCGAACTTTCAAAGTTTGATACACTGAGATACCATTAAAATTAATACTAAATTAAATAGGCCTATAGACACACAAAAAAGGTTTAGGCCTATTAATTAACAAGTCCCCCCGCCCTTTTTTTCCCCCAGCAAACTACCCATTTAACTTAAAATCTGGCCTATAATTAAACCAGCAAAAACTTATAAGATCTTGTTTTTCATTACAGCAGAAAACCCAAATATAATTATTTTTTTTTTAAATTCATGTTTTGGGACTCAGTTCTTTAAAAGTGACGGCTGGACAATGCTCATACTGCACTGCTTCAAATATTCCATAATTGCTTCTTAATGATCAATGAAAACTTAGGAAAACTGGAATGCTAACATAAGGCAGGATCATCAAAAAAATTTTAAGCCAAGACAGCTTATTTTTAGTTCCATAATTAATTTATATTATTTAGGCCTATAACTTAATGAAACTATTAATATTAAACTCTTGTGAATATAGCCTACATATTTAAATAGTTAGCTAAGTAGCAAAATATATAAAATAATCATAATGCTAGCCAGCTAATAATGAATGTAATCTTAATTTGCTAAAATGTTTTCCTTTGGGGAAAAATAAAATCCAGTTAGGCCCATGTTCTCATAGACTAAAATATGTTATATTCTCATAGACTAAATTATGACCAGAAAACCTGAACTCAAAACAGAGTTTAGGTCTTAGTATGATTTCGTCCTTAATTGGGACATGCAGTTTTCATCAATGCCAGAGAGAAGCACTCACTACACAGGCAGTTCTATTATTCTAGACATAACTTTGTGCTAACAAGAAACGGGAGAATTTTGATACCGGTGTCCGATAATGGAATCTTCTTTAAAAAGATATGTTAGGCTACTGGTAGGTAACTAAATACACACATGGCTGGCTAATGTCAATGCTAACCCTGTCCCTAACATACGCCTAATCATAATTTCTAACCATTAAGTTAGTCGAGATTTTTATACTACTAACAACCCAACACACCTATTTAATGGAAGAGTCTATTATCGGACACCAGTATCTATAATCACCAGAAACAACATCTGGCTCATTAAGGTGGTTGGGGCAAGTAACGATGTCAAATGTCTATTATTCACATTTTACCAAATCACCTGTTCGCTTCAAAATTTACCAACAATAAATATTCCCTTTAATAACACTCAATGGAATGTTTTCTTGTCTGTGTGTCAGTAGATGGAATCTAGATCTAGAGAAGATGTTTAGTCTAAAATAGTCTAGTTTACAATTCACACCTTTTTTTATTTTAAAATTGTTGGTGTATTCTTGGTTGTAAACACCCCCCCCCCCCCTTCCCGTGTGTATCGCGTTCAGATGCATAGGATCTACATTCGTAAAGTAGCTTTCCCGTAAGACCGTTTACATTTTAATTGAAGTGCAATCAACGTCATATTAGTTGTAGGTAGTTAGATTCTAACAAACTAATGAAACCAGCTGTAGATCAAGTTTTAGCTATCACCTGTCCGCCATTTTGAAATCAGGATTGTAAATAATAGGTCGATAAATAATTTTCTTCAAATGTAAATCGTCAACTAATTTATAAGATCTGTGTTTTGTATTTTTGAAATCTCGGTTATTAACTGTAGATTAGTACCTTGGATAAGTCACAAGCAGTCTTGCTTCTTTCAACCTCTCAAAATAGTCTTCATGAATTAGCGAAGTTGGAGCATCTCATTTGCTGTCTTTTAACTGCGGGATGTTTGTTCGTAATATGCCAGAAAAGCGTTATAGTTATAAAATATTTTAGTTAAATACTAGATCTGATACAAATCAACTAAAATGTATTCAACACAATTTTAATTAATCGGGTAGATTTTAAATTTAAAATTGAGTTTAGTAATATAATCATTTTCATTTTTTTCACGTGCGTTATAATTATATAATCTAGCTCTAACTACACTAATGAGGAATTCTATATGGTAACAATATGTAAACACTGTCTGGCTTGTAAAAAACATGTTGGGTCTAAATTAAAAATAATTTATAATATTTAATCTATTAAATTTTTGATGGTGTGTTTAATCTATTGATCTTATTTTATCCCATAAATCAATCAAAACGGTGTTACAATTAATTTTTTAAATATCAAGTTTTTAAGTCGTCAAATGAAAACTTTTCAATGCAGTTAGCTCCCAACTGTTTATAGGCAACCAATATGGCGTTTTTAAACACATTTACATTCTTAGTTATAATTATACCTTTTCACACAGTCTACTGTCAAAATGTATATGTAAACCCAACTTCATGCAAAGATGGGAAAAATACTAAAGAATCTGTTGTTGAGTATTTTAACACTGCAACGATGAAATGTGAAAGCTGTGCACAAAATTCAACATTCCAACAGAGGAGTGCCGACGGTATTTTTAAAATTCTACTATTACTATCTAGACTAGATCTAGCTTAAATCTAATTCTACTCAACTGCTCAACTCTACTCTAACTAATTATTATATTATATAGGTATATTGTGAAAATCTCCCTGATCATTATATAATTATACAATATAGGCCAACATACATAGATTTATGGACAATTATAACCCATTTGTAAATACACAAAAATTATCATTCTGGGCCAAGTAGTTTTTTGGCCGCATTTGCGCGGTTCGCTCTGCATTACGCTTAATCTTTAACCTAGGTGGCATGTGATCTTTAAAAAAAAAACAGATATTAGGACTGCCCGATTTTTTTTTTCGTGGTAGCAATTTATTGTTGACATCTAGATCGAGTTTAATTGTATTACTATTTAGGCCTATATTATTTCAACACCTAAGAATCTAGATCTAGTCTACTACTTGTAAAAAACAGTACAGTGTCAGTAGTGGGTCAGATGATAGACCTAGATCTAGCAACAATCTAATTTTAAAAAAAAAACCACTTAGTGTCCGCATGGAGTCTCACCACTAAAATTGTAATACATCTAATGCTATGCGTATGAATACAAAATGACTCATATGTGATTACACTAGAAAGAATGCGGAGTAAGACAGTACTTTCGGTTTGTTTCTATGTGAAATTGTTACTGAATGGCGCTCAATGGAAATCAGGAGTTCCGATTTTTTTATACGTCTGTCCGCAGACGCCACTTTACTCTAGATTTAGATCTAGAATCTAGCCCCTATTTTAAAATTTTATAGATCTAGATTTTACTGCTAGTTCCTAGATCTAGGCCTATTCTAGATCTAGATGTTTTTAATTGTAGATTTAGAGCAGCCTTCACTCTTTGTCTTTAACAGTTGGCCTATTTACTATTAGTATTTAAAATAGGATGTTGCCTAAGGATTTAAACTTCATTATTGTTTACTTAAACTTTGAAGTTTAAAGAATTAAAACACTACATTTATTTACTATATTTACCTTTAATTAGATACCATTTTAATTATCAAAATTGATTGGAATGTTAAAAAGTGATTTTAAAAAAAATTTGCTTTTAATTGAATTTAAATGGCTAAGATGCTATGACTGATATGGTGGTGGGTTAGTTTTTAAGGAGTGTAGTTGTGATTTGTTTGACCATTCAGATGAAATGTGTTATCTACTAGAGTTCTTCACATTCAAATACACTTTGGGTAAAATGGTTGGGCTTAATTGGCTATTGCTTCAATCAAGTTATATTTTAAAAAGATTTTTTACCCTGAAGAATTTTCAAAATCAATAAAATTAGTAACTTGTAAAACATAATTTTCTTTATAATAAAACAAGTTTTGTATTTTGACAAAATAGTATAACGTATAGTAATCAACATTTTTTTCACCTTATGTTCTGCTCAATATTCTCAGCTATTAAGGCCAAAAAATGTAAAAATAAATAAATGAAAGTTTACATTAAATAAGTCTAAACATTCATTCTTAACCCTTGATGGGAAAAAGTAATGATATAAGTTTAGTTAAGGTTCACATCTGCCACGTCGAGATGATCAATTATGCCCTCTAACAAAATTTAAACTAATTAATCAGAGCTTAATAGTAATTTTTAATTTAATAATATTAATTATACATAATTTTAGTTAGTGTTTCACATTGCTAAATCAAAATGGGCCTTAGAAGTTAAATTTAGTGTTTAGTAAACATAGAATTCATACATGTTTACATTTAATGAGACATTCTTTTTTATGATTTTCACATGATAAGTTTTCCTTATCAGCAGGAACTATTATTTACTCTGTTAGTCTAAATTGAATCAAATTTTAAAAAATCATTTAGGGTCTGTGAAGTTTGTGTTAGTTTCTTGCCTGTAGAAGTTTTATTTCATTAAACAATTCTTTGTTATTATTGGATCTATTTTTTTGCTCTTAAATTTTTTATTAATTTAATTAAATATACAGCTCTGAATGTTTATTGTTTTTATTATTCTGTTACTATTCCTTCAGGATTATTCTGTGAATGTAAACCTGGCTACAAATACTCGCTAAATATGGGAGGGAAAGAAGTGAAATGTGAATTTTGCCCTGGGGTGAGTTTTTTTTGTTGTTGTAAGTTTTTCATGAAATAATCTGTACACTGTTATTAACTTAATGAATCATTAAAAATAATATTGGTGTTGTTTATGATGATGTAATGTGAAGTTTCACAAGTACTGATGGAATGGTCAGGAGGATAAGGTACTGCAGAGAACATGCTGGCCATACTGTTAATGTCCAACACACCTTGACGTGAACTTATAAAATGGAGCAAAACACTAGTATTGTAAGATAGAGACAAAAGGCTTTTTAGCTGAACAATAAAGATTTAATGAAGATTTATCAACCCTATTAACTACAAAAAAGGCAATTGAAAAAACTTGAAAAAACACTATATCACTAGAACAGGTATCCTAACAAAAAGTTCACATAAAACAGTCATTGATTAGCCTACAGAAAGAACTCTTAAGAATAAAAAAAAATCTACTGTTTGTAAAAACATGCAAAAGGCTATGAGTGACTTGTGACACAACCTATTTAATCTGTAGCTTGGGACAGAATGATGTCAACAACTCAGTAAACAAAAATTGGAAAATATCAACTAAAATCCACAATGACAAGTAAAAATGAAGCATGACTAAATCAGTGGTACACAGCTTGTTTACCCATAACAACAGATATAAATTATGTGTAAATAAAATTGGATAGAAATCAGTTACCATGCTTATGTTTTTGAAATGTAATTAACATGAAATAGATTAAAGTTAAACTTAATTCTGCTGCAGGGTGTATCTGATGATGGCTGGGAGTGTGTCAACTGTGGTGACAATCTTAATACAGAAACTAAGAAATGTAACCCTTGTACAGAAGAAACCCAAATTGGTGGTAAGAATCAGCTATTTATTTTGCTGTGATTCCTGTACCAAGCGTCTGCTTATCAAACAAGACTCCACCTTTTGCTTGTATATTTTCTATTTATAATTTTTTTTTTAACTTTGTGAATATACTTGCTTTTTTTAGCCAAATAATATTGGCAGGTCAAAAATATGTTTATATTTCTACTAAGTAGTCTACATGGAGAACATCTGGCTATTCTCATCTTACTCATTTACTGCCCAGGTATTGTGTTTGGATTTCCAAAGCACAATCATCCTATGGGCTATTAGCCTATAGAGCCATATGTCACGTTTATGAAAATGACCTCCAATAGTATAATACTTTGGTTGTCAGCTTAGCTGCTTCCTAGTCTTTGATCTTTTATAAGGAGAGTACAATCTGTTTTTTTATATTGGCTAGTATTCACTTCAGTACCACCTTTTTATGCTGGGTTATTGAGGTGAATGTGTTTTATTTGCTGATTCAGATATAGCAGACGTATGGTTGACAAAGCATTAGTAAAGCATCTGATAGTTGTTAGTTAGGATAATATTCTTACTATTAGTGGTTATTCAACAGAAACTCCAGATTATATTGTATTTGCTTAAAATCATATTATTATGCTTATTGCTGTATTTATTGACCTTTTAGTTAAGTAATTTTACTACTAAACTGCACCATTTTAATATGACTATTTATTACTGGAATAGTTTTTCGTCAGTTGGATGGACAGTACAGTTCTGGAAGTCAAGACTTCTCCTGCATAACCTGCATAAATGGTACCCAACCAGATAGCACAAAATCAAGGTGAAATTTACCTCATCAACTCTCAGTTTAGAGTAATTTTTATTTTGCTGCATGATTCTTTTGGTTGTTTGGCTTTTATACTAAAAGTTGTTTTATCATACTGCCTTTTGCATGGGAAGGAAGGGGGTGCTAATGAGTTTCTCAAAATTGATTTTAAAAAATGTATTTATGAAAATGTATTTTTAAATAGAACTGTTGTTAATAAAATTTCTTAGTCAATTTACATCATTTATTTTTAATAAATCAGTGTAAATGCTGTTCTTTTATTTAAAAAACATAAGATTTGCTCTTAGATAGTTATGATCTCACTTCATCAAAAGTTTTTGTTTTCTCAGGTGTAACAGGTGTAGTGACACAATAAGTATTACAGCCAACCCACTGAGCTGTCAATGTGCTTCCACATCTACAAAGGTACAGCTCTATCTACATAAGGAATTTTGAGTCTGTGTGACAGCATGTTTAATGTGAGAGGATCGTCATGGGGTATAGCAATCGATTGTTTAACCCAGCAGTCTTGTATTTAGTTCCTTGGTTCAAGTCTATAGGGTATCCCTGAGTGTTGGAGAAAGAAAATGGTGGCAAGGCATAGAAACTGGTTACACTATTCCTTCAAATACCAAGATCTACTTCATCTTCCTTGTTGGCCATTAGTTCTGCACAGACAAAAACATAACACATATTTTTTTTCTTAATTTTCATTTCATTGTTCTTAAGCACATGCATTAGCACACACTTTAAAAAATTTGTTTTTATACTATTTAAAGGTAAAGGGCATCTGCTTAACCAAAGTTGATGTAGTGAATTTAGATAATCGTGTACAAATTGAGGTATGTTTTTTTTTTTTTTTTTTCTTATAAAATGTATTTATGGTAGAGTTCTTTTTAGGATCCGGAGTCAGTATTAAATTTAAGTATTAAAGTATTTAAGTATTAAATTTCACCACCCAATGTTAACTGACAAATACCATGTAAAACTAGGATATATATTTCTTATGCTTGCTTTATGTAAAATGGTATGATTTCAGAGGATTTATATCTTATGAAAACTAATTAAGTCTCACTGAAGTGCTATTTAAAAAAAATGTATTAAAATTTTTTTGAAAATATCAAGTGTCCCTTAACTATAACATTTGCCAATGTGAAAAAAAGATAATTTTAGGAAATTAAAATAGAGAGGATAGTTTCAAAGATAATTTTAGGAAATTAAAATAGAGAGGATAGTTTTATGTATGTAGATAATAAAATATCCAGAGGATTTAAATTTTCTCTAGTGAAAGTTACAATGCATGTAGCCAAACTATTAATCTATTGAGTTTATTCTTATAAAATAATTTTTGAAAGATTTATTTTGTAATAACTGATATAAAAAAACTACAGGAGCCTATTGTCATTGTATTTCAGAAAACAGGCACAGCTTTTACCTCAGATTATCTGACCTCCAACCTTCTGGCTGACTATATGATCTGTAATGTAAGCACTTTATTAATGTTAGCTCAGTCTATCTCACCCACCTTTAGGCTGACTATATGATCTGTGATGTAAGTACTTTATTAATGTTAGCTCAGTCTATCTCACCCACCTTTAGGCTGACTATATGATCTGTAATGTAAGTACTTTATTAATGTTAGCTCAGTCTATCTCACCCACCTTTAGGCTGACTATATGATCTGTAATGTAAGTACTTTATTAATGTTAGCTCAGTCTATCTCACCCACCTTTAGGCTGACTATATGATCTGTGATGGGGAACAGGTCATTACCCCCCCCCCCCCTCCCCCCAGTCAATTACCCCTCTGACATTTCCACCAATTAGCCCCTAATTAGGGCTATTGCTAGGATCAGGGCTAGGATTAGGTTTAGTGTAATGGTCAAGGTTAAGCTTAAACCAATGTCTGGCGTTGGTTTTGGTTTTGTGATAAGTTTTAGGCTGAGGTGAATGCTTAGGTTTTGGTCTTTTTCTTAAGGTTAGGATTAAGGTAATATATAGATATAGAATTTGAGTTAGAGTTAGGATTCTAACTTTTGGGGGGGGGGGGGGGGGAGGAGGGGGAGAGTAATTGCTCCAGAGGGGTTAAATACAGTGGGGGGGGGGGGGGGGTAATGTCCTGCAGCCTCTGTGATGTCATTACTATTTTATTGATGATGTGAAAGAATATTTTCATTTACTGTACTAGGCTATACTAAACAATTATTATTGAAAACCATCTTCTTGTGACTTCTTCAGGAATTAAAAAACATAACAGCATGCCAGTCACTGGCTAATATGTGCACCCTCATACTGTACAAGGGAGGCATGACCACAACATACAGTCCACCAAATGCTTGTACTTTATTTGCCAAAGTGTATGTTCGTTTATACTATTTTAAAAAACTTTTTTGTATTAGTAGCTTTTTTCCCTCATTATAAGAAGTAGTTTCCCCACAAATTTGTTTTTAACTCTTACAAATTTTGATGTTATTTTTATAGTAGTTTGTATATCATTTTTCAATGAGATATGTTTTGTTTCATGATTTATTCTATTGTAAATTTTTGTTTGCTTGGCAGTTTGCTTTTATTAGTTAATTAATATCTTGGTTCATCACTTTCTTTCAGAGATCAGACCCAGGTGACAACAACAAAGCCTACAATCTTTAATACAGATGCAGGAGACAGAGTACTCTACATAGACAACGCACTCAACATTCAGTGGACTGTTGATCCTGCCATGAAGTTTCCCTTTGTGGTGGGCCAGTTCTCTCTAGCGGGTTTGTTTGAAGGCTTCCAGGACATGACTGGCCGTCTCCTGCAGCTTTGTGAAGCTGACGAAAATGTTTTAAATGCAGCTTTTGTCTTTGGGACCTACTACTCGTACAAGGTGAGTTACGCGAGTACCGCCTGGCAGCTCAAGTTATACTTATAAAAAGTTATTTGTTTAAATAATAAATAATTTATGCTTAGAACAAGAGAAGTTATATAGATGAAATTATTTTGTTTCATAGAAGTCAAAAAATTAATAGAAGTTTTTCAATGTATTTAAAGTTTATTTATTTATTTCAGTGTTCTATATCAGTAAGCTCACTAATGGACCAAACACTCTTTCCTCTCAAGTTTTATGAAGTCTGTATCCTTAATTGTATAACTCAATTTTATGTTATATCAATCTAATTATTATATTGTAAAAAATAATTTTAGCTAGATGTATCAGAATTTTATTTAATTCAACAATCATGACATTTCCTTAACAAAATAACAGTTATCAAGTTCACAGATTCAGGAACTACCAAAACTCTCAAGATACCTGTAAAAATACTCAATTTTATAAATAATAATGGTGAAAAAGTTAATCAAGGTACTGTATTTTTATTATAGATTTTAAAATGTTAGGTTTCTAGGTTTTTTTACATGAAGTTACCATTACAATATAAAATAATTTAATGCCAGCATAATTTGTTACATTTTTTAAAAATTTCAAATTTGCACCAATTATTTTTATCAAAATGGTGCTTCTTAAATACCTAGTGTTCTGACTTCGGTAGATGGATGTTTTGAACCAGGACAGAGTGTAAAAAAACAGAAAAGCTTACACGCCTGGACTACCTGATCTACCATTAATTTAAAAAATTTTTTTGACACTACCATTTCTCCCAGTCTTACTTTTTTTTCTCCAGTAAGGAACACTAATTAAAAGTTCAGTTTCCCCATTATCATTTTGCCATATCTTTGCTTGCTTATACATAGTTTTAGTCTTTTTCAGTGTATTGTTTCTGCTCTGTTGCAGATGAGTCAAAAACAAAAACACAAATAACTGAGATTAATGTAAAAATATGAAAATAGTTCTTTATGTGTTTGACAGGAATAATGCAGAAATGGCAATTAGCATATCGTTTTTTTCTGGTGGACAGCATAGGTGCAAGAGAGCAGATTGATAAACGTAAGTTTAGACCTGATACAATTAAAATATATAATTAATTAATAAAAGCGTAATGTTACTATGATTCTCAACTTTATTATATAAAACAAATTTTTTCTTCCATCATTAAAATTTTTATTAGGAAATCTTTTAACATAAGATGTTAGTATAATAATTATCTAAATTTAAATACTACTTTATTACATTTTAAATTTTTAGTAGGATGTTTCAATTGTTAACATCATTTTTATAACGTGTATGAGACTTTTTGTTGAATTAAATGTTTTACTGTATTCTCAGAACCAGTCTATGTCAGGTACGCCAAAAACATTCGTCTTCTGGTGGAATTGCGCTCTGATTCGGCTGATGGAAAAACTTACATCCCATATTTTGAGATTGAATATGCCGAAGCCAGTTTGACTGATAACCAAGTAGATGTATGTAGAGTACTTGTGTTACTAGCATCAATTTTTTACAACACTCTACCGCTATGCTATAAGCAATAAAATGAGGCATCACATCTAGCATGAATTATGATGAATACAAAACTTAATCCATTCACAAAAACAGCTCAATGAATATTACAGCTTTGCTAACAAAAAACTCAATGAACAACACCAAACTCTACCATCAGTCAAGTTCCCACAACAAATTTACAATATTAATACCAGAATTATTAAACATTTTGAGACTACATACAATAATAAAAATCAGCTCAACTACTCTGGCACTGACATTTTATTTACAACTGTATGTATTTTCTAGATAAGCTTCCAAGTAAGCTACAGCATGAGCCAGAGTAGCTATACAAGAAACTTCCAGATAGCCACAGGGACCCTGAGCAGCTTTGCCCTCCTGTATGCGGGGTTTAGAACTTACGTCTGGAGCAGACGTGCTGGACGTATAAGCATTGACTTCCCCACTCTAGCCAACTTCATATTCTACTTATGTGCATCACTCTCCAACTGCTTCTTTGTCATCGTCTATGGCGTTGGATTTTACTTCTTTATATTTTATAAGGTAGTCCTCATCATCCATAAGTATTGATGAATACATTCTAATCAATCAAGTTAGATAACAGATAGATAACAGTATTGTGTTATGGTTTTTTTTCTTCTGTTGGAATTCTTGTTATGGTTAAGGTTGCCAAACTTAAAATAAAATATTTTTTTTGTATGATAAAAAAAAATTATAATTATAGTATGGGGGATTATGGGAGAGGGGGGGGGGGCGTGGTCTTTTGGCAGAGCTTTAAGCAGCTAACCCAAAAGTCCGCCCAGCTCTGATGGTCCCTGACACATTCGGGAAAGTAAAGTCGACTGGGTATAGTGCTGACCACATTATCCATCATAGGTCGAGGTCACTGAAACAGGTGAATTCTACTTCATCTGCCCAGTGTTCTTTAACAATTAGAATAGAATTATGAGTTCTCAGCATCAATATATGGTTTACCTCGTAAAATCAGTTCGCTGTAAGTGATTATAATTAGTTTATAGTTGAATTAGTTTAAATTGAGCTTTGTTGTCTTCAGCGCCAGAACGTGATTTACCTTGTACACCCTGATGGTCAAGCCTACAAAGACTGGATAGCTCTGTTTGGTGCAGCTTTTGCTTTAAAAGGCCTGGCTCTCTTCCACATGATTGTGATGCAGTGCTCAGCGGATGTGTTCCTCATTGACTGGGAACGCCCCAAGTCCCTGGGTGGAAACTCAGGAGATGGGAAAAAGCAGAAAAGCATGGTGTCCATATGGAGGACATATTTTGTAGCCAATGAATGGAATGAGATCCAGGTTAGTTTGTGTCAGAAATATTAATAACCTGTTTTTTATCTATTGTTTTAGATGAGAGTATGAATTCAAATACTCTGTTTTTAAAAATTATGTACATAAGAAAACAGTCACTAGTATGACATCCTATTGGACTTAGTGTTTTAGCCAGAAAAGGTAACTTGCTATAGAAAATACAGAAAATTGTTGTTTAGACGAATTGTCTTTTGTTAGGCTTTGAAAAACCCACTGCATGTTTATGATGCTATATCTTTTTAAAATGACTGCTTTCATTTCTCCTCACCTGTTTGTTAAATTGGTGCACTGATCTTTAATTTCTTGAAATATTTTTTCTCTCTGCAGACCAAACGAAAGATTAACCAGGTCTTCCAGATATTTGCTGTTGTTTTCTTCTTGGTTGTGGTAGGGTTTGAGGACACGACCACCATGGACCCAGACGGGACAGTCAACAAAGCTTCTGACGTCTACATGAGCCAGCAGAGCAAAATGTACCGCATGGCGCTGGCAGCCACGGTCTACATCCTCATAGGTCAGAGGTCATTCACAATAACACTTGAGCACAATGCATAAATGGGGAACCTTTAAGCTTGTCACCAAGACATAAAGCTAATTTTTGTTTGAATTGCAACCTTAACCTTAATTCTGAGGCTTGTTGTAATCCTTAAAGCAATACTTGCGTACAGACTTAATTTCAGTAATTTATTTCCCTACCAAAGATGATAGAAATACTCATATATTTTTATATTTTTTTTTAATAATAACAGACATCAATACATTTTTTAAATTTTTTAAAAACTGTTAAACTTCAATTTCAGGTATAGTTCAGATGATTTTCTTCCTGTTCATTTATGAGCGTTTCATCACTGATGATATCAGGGAGTTTGTGGACATTTGCTCCATGAGTAACATCAGTGTTTTCATCATGGCTAATGCGGAGTTTGGCTATTATATTCACGGTAGATCTGTACATGGCTGTTCTGATGTTGGCATGGATGAGATGTCTGAGATGATCAAACGGGAGGAGGTTGGAATTGTTTTCCTCTTGATATAAATATTTATTCTATAACATGTACAAATTTTATAACATTAAATCCTAGACGTAATATACACTGACGCCTGTAATTTTGTTAAACCTATGCTTCAAAAAAAAGGTGCTTTAAATTAAGTAATCAACTAGTTTTATTCTCCAAAATTATTTATCTTGTATACAAGTAGTTTTTTTTTACATGTTAAATAGCTGTCAACTACTAATTATTTGGTTGAAATAGATATCAAACTAAGTATGTTTCTTTTAGGATGATCTTGTTGGCCAGAGAGGGCTAGTCCCTAACACAGATGCTCAAACCTTTGTCATGGCCATACCCAAACGTCTGAGGGAAAAATACACAGCAGTGTACATGCCGGTGCAGCTAGAGGTTTGTTTGTTGCTGGCACTGTTAGTTCAGCTTGCTATGTGGGTTTAGTTGAAGGTTTGATCTCATAGAAAAGCCATAATACATGTTTCAAATTTTGATCTCACAGAAAAGCCATACAATATTTTTAAAGTTTTGATATCATAGAAAAGCCATAATACATGTTTAAAGTTTTGATCTTATAGAAAATCCATAATACATTTTTCTAGTTTTGATTTAATAGAAAAGCTGTAATACATGTTTAAAGTTTTGATCTTATAGAAAAGCCATAATGTATGTTTTAAGTTTTTATCTCATAGAAAATCCATGATACACATTTAAAGTTGTAATCTTAAAATACATGTGTAAAGTTTTGATCTCATAGAAAAGCCATAATACATGTTTTAAATTTTGATTTCATAAAAAAGCCATAATACATGTTACAAGTTTAACATAGGCGCTAACACTTGTTTTCCCAGAATGCAACAAGCCGCATGGGTAAATCAGCTGCCAATAAAGACAAGAGCACTGAAGCTTATTTAACATTGAACAGATTTTTCTCTGCATTTATTGACCATGTAAGTGATCTACAACATAATTTATTATAATACATTCCAATTTCTTTTTATTATGTTCTTTAATTAATTAATTAATTATTTATTTGTTATTAATTTTTCTATTTATGTTTTCATAATAAAAATGTATTTCAGTCTATTCGTGACATCGACTATGTGGTGAAGGACAAAAATTTCCTGGAGAAACTTCTTGATACAGAGTTTCTGGAACTCACAGAGAAAGGAATATTTTACAATGGTAACTAGTACCTATAGCCTACTAATCTACTGTTGATACTTGTGTTAATAATTATCTAATGTTTATAGATACTGGTCAAGTTCATATGATTATTTAATGTTTACAGATAACGGCCACTCTTTTGACAATGTGCTGTTCTATGGCAATGAACTGATGCTGCTCATCTTTGACTTGCTGCTGTTTTGTATCATTGATCTGATCTGCATGGACTATGTGTTGGCTGGAGTCCTCACTTATGTTATCACTGAGGTAGTATTCTAGCTCATCCATCATGTTTTAGTATCTACATGGGTGTATTGTAATGGGATGGCTGGAGTCCACACTTATGTTATCACTGAGGTAGTATTCAAACTCATCCATCATGTTTTAGTATCTACATGTGGGTATTGTAATGTCACTTATGTTATCAGTGAAGTAGTATTCTAACTTCTCCATCATGTTTTAGTATTTACCAGTTGGTGTTGTAATGGGATGGTTGAGTGGTAGGGCACATACTAGCTCACCTGAAAGTCTTAAGTTTGGTTCCCATACTCTAGAATAACTCCCAGTACAATGGCTCATCTCTGATATATACCTGCTTCTCCTGAGTATATTTAATATGGCTGGACATAGCCCTGAGCACATAATCCCCTCATATGTAGAGTCACAAAAAGAGATGAACACATCCTCTTTTTATTTTTATAAGGATGAGGTTTAGGAAAATCATTGTTTAGTTGTATAATATTTACCAACTTTCATGTTATTTTTACAGAAACAGTTTATTTGATTGATCTATAAAAAAGAATCAAAGTTAACCAGTTTTATAAAATCTTATTTCAGCTCATTTGCCTCATACGTGACACAGCAGGTAAAAAGAACCTTGCAAGAAAGACATTGGTTGATGAACGATTTTTAATTTAAAAACAACACAAAACATTAGGACATAATATGTTTTTACTTTGTTTAACTTCAAAAGTTTAAGGCTGGATTAAGTTTTAATGTGTAAAGTTAAATTTGGGCAACCATAATAAGCTTAATTAAACTAGATGTAATTCACAAGCCAAAATATATTTTCCGTAAAATCAATAATCCTATTCACTTGGCATACAATTCTGAAAAAAAATCTACACATTCATCATACAACCATGTTTACCTTAACCAAACATTACATAGCTTTCTATTCGTTAATCAAAGTAATGTTTATAAAGAAACATGTCATTTACTGGGTACTACCAATGGGCACACACAATATAGACTCATCTTGAATGACATTCCAACCTTATGTGGCACCTACTACATTTATTCCAACATAATTGACATTGTTCATTAAGCATGTGAAAATTTCACATTGTGATATTCTTAAGCATAAAAATGAAATATGTGCCTTAAATAATATTTCACTTTGCTTTTTTTATATATATTTATTTTAAATCTATTAATTTGTATTTTATGGTTTTGAATTAACTGTCATATTTTATTTCTTGGTGCTACAAAAGATGAATCTTAAAGTTTACTGAATTAGTGGTTTTTATTACAAATATAGTTGAAAGTGCTAATTTTTAAATGTAAAACTTATATTTTTAATATAGATATATCTCAATTGTTAAAAATATTTTTTAATCCTACCTTTCATTTGAATTAAATGGTTATACTAGATTACCACATATTGGTAATTATCCGTCCAAAATAATTAATCATGCAAATGTTTTAGATTCTTTTTAAAACTTGGATTTTTAAATGGTTCAAACTAGGTTGTTAATCATTCCTGTGTTGGTGAGTTTATGTTGACATGTTATGGTAAAGTTATTGTCATTCTGGATATTGTCATTACAGTTTGGATTCATGTTTTTTCCTAGCATTGAATAGATTTTTTAAAAAAGTTTGTGATCTGGCCGAATAACTTTCCCTATTTTTTAAAACAATTGTGCATTTTTGTAATGTTTGGTAGTTATATAATCAAATATCTGATTCCAATTATTTTTAAGAACTTACTCTTGTAGATCTGTAATGCTTATTGTCATTAAAGGTTTAGTTCTTTTGTTTTTAATTTTGCTCTTGAATATATTGATTCAATTGTAAGTAACAATATTATTTTATTCCAAAATCTCTTGTAACTTGTAAATACATTAATGGTTGTGTTGGTGACAGAGAGAAATGAGTGTAAACTTTGTTTAAGAATTAAGTCCTGTGAATGATGATGTAATGTCAAACTTTATTTGTAAAATAGAAAACATAATAATACTGGTATGTAGAGTATATTCTTTAAATTAATACATTGTAATACTTAAAATATTTGTAATATATTTATTTGAATGTATTAAAATTAGATTTCTATTACACTTGTATTTTCATAAGTGCTAAAATTTATTTTTTACTGCCTTTTTAAATATATTACAGCTAGTGGCATATGTAGAATTGGGTCACTGGAGAGTGTTAAACAAAAATTTAAAAACTAAAAGCATTGATATAGATGAAGCATTGTCTTAAATTCTTAAATAGCTTCAACTTAATTTGAGACAGCTGTTATTTTAAAGGTCCATGGGTAAGGTGTTCTATTACTCCTTAACACACTCGCTTATGCCACTGATTGTAACCCTATGTTTGGTCTTTAATGAATTGTAAAAAAAAAATTGCCTAAATAATTCTCGTTTGATAACTTTACTTCTGAATTTTAAAGGATTCAGCTCACTACATAGTAAACTAATTTTTCTTAAAAAGCTCATCTAGTTTCTAAAACACTTAGTGTAAATTAGAACCGTTGCACACAATGTTAATAAAACTTAGTCTCTTCCCCCTTAGAACTCGAGGTGAAAAACATTCTAAATCTTTGATGTACGCATATCTTGATAACCCCTGATTGGTAAACTGGCTTGCTTTGATTTCACTAACAAGGGGCGCTATCTGGCAATCACAGTGTAGGGGATTCCCGGTTATGTTGACGAATACAGAATCTATTTTTGACCAGTTCAGGACTTCCTCAAGGCTGAGTGACGTAATGTTGTTGTGTTGTAGATCAAGGACGATCACTCCATTTTGGTTGTTTGTATTTAAGGGGAGACGAACCTCTGAGATGTGGTTCCAGCTGAGATCCAGGTGCCGGAGCTTGGGGAAATTTGTCTGAAAGTCTAACAGCTCGCTGGGTATAGCTTTAAGTCCTGATCTAGAATAATTCATCATTCTGAGTTCGGGATATTTAGCGTTTTGTAGCATCAGGTTAAAATAGTGGGCTATCATCATCGTTGGGTGGCTTTCGTCCAACACACGCAGTTTTCGGTAATTGCACTGTACTTGTAGACTTTGGAGTTTCTTCAGAAGTGATTGGAAGTCTTCATTTGTGTAGTTCTTATTTGACTTAGGGCGTTGCTTTACCAGGGGTGATTGGGGTATTTTAATTCTATTTGGGCTTGCAGCAGGCGTCAAAAGCCCCTGACCAACAGGCACCGAAAGCCCCTGACCTACAGGCACCGAAAGTCCTAGGCTAACTGTGTGAATGTAGCTGTGTGTCAGGACCCCAAACTGTGTTACAGAAACTCCCTGCCTGTCGACCGTAGACAAAAACCCAAACAGTCCAGCCAACGAATAATTTTCCCTGGCTTTAAAAGACGCCCATGTAGGACGTGGACGTGTATCCCTGGAAATCTTCACCGGACGAGACGGGGCGGGGTCAATGGTCTCGCTCACATTCACAGTGGCCAAGTATTCTAGTGTGCTATGCTGACCGCAGTCGTATTCGGGCGTCAGGTGACTTAAACTGTCAGAGCTCTTCATTGTACTGAAACTAGATTCGTCGCTCACCCAGGATGAGTCACGAATTTCCAACACACGTAGTTGGTCTGGTGTGGAGTAGACCTCAGGGTTCTTAAAATCGGCGTATTTATCCATCAAGATACATTTAGAAACAGATAGCCCTACAAGCCTTGGCGCTTTCATTGGCCAAGGGAGGGATAATTTCCCGCCATTACTGCATTCAGCGCGCAGGAATACCGAAATGTTAGGTAAGCCTTGTAACCAGTTCCGTAACGTTGCAAAATGCCAGACGTTATTTCCGGTCACGTGACAGTGAATGTTAATTACTGCCTGGGGTGTTGTGGTGTTCTCTACGTATTTCCCGAGAATCAAAGGATCCTCCTGGTGTGTGCACATGCTCTCCCACCCTGGGGGGACTGGACTACTTGTTTGGGCGGAAACACAAATGGCGCAGAGAGCAATAATACATGTAAAAGAAAAACGCATCCCTTTCATTTGAAGAAATACAATGAAGTTCATTATTTTCGGTTCTTTTGGACAAAAAGTTCTTTCGAAATTCTTTAGTTTCTTTGCAATCAATGTAAATTTGAAGTGAATAGTATAGTCTGGTTTTGTTTTCTCTGAAACAAGAAAATATAGTTGAAAAAATAAACAACACACCGAAGGATCTACATTTTCTGAAAGTCATCGAGCTTGCAACTTGACAGTCAGCTTCCAGAGTGTCTTACCCGAACGAAATGGAATTTATATAGAAAACATACTTTTACCAGTGTCCGCCCCCCCCCCCCCCCCCCGGAAAATGTCGTCGTCGTCCCCCCCCCCCCGGAGAAAAAAGTCTGGAAGAAATACTTCTTCCAAAGCTTCTACTCTTTGGGGGTTGACTTTAAATGACGTCACACTAATTCATCCCAGTTTCACCACTCTCTTCCCTGTTGTTCAATACATTCTCAAAATATCTTTCACCCTAAATAAAACTGTGATGGTTTTCATCGTTTTTACTCTCACGAAATACAAAACGAATACCACATATCAAATTGTTACACGATTCCGAAAAAAAACATCTCTCCTCAGTATGTGTGTGACGTCATTTATGGATGACCTCTCAACCCCAAGTTTACGAAACACTGACCTGAATTAGAGATACGATACGTTGTTACAGACTTCGTGAGACAGTTAACAGAATATGTACTGTAAAACTTCGCATTATAAACCTACATTATAGTTAAACGCCCTAAAGAGACGAAGTACAGGAATCATTCTTGTAGTGATAGCCCAGTAAATCTAGACATGATTCCAGACTACAGCCTCACATCATCACATCAGCAAATTCTTGCCATGCCGCTAAATTAAGCCGGAGAGATGAAAGAGGCGTGAGTTTAGTATGACTAGTATGGGGGGGGGGGGGTGTAATTCATTTATGATGTACTCACGGAGGCGGGTTTGGGTCGCAAAAAGTTGACTTTTGTAAACGCATGTAGGTGTTGGGGGGGGGGGGGGGGTTCTTGTGTATGTCTATAGTATGTTTAAATAAAGATCAACATAAAATATGATGCAGCAAACGGCAGTGCTCGTGTTTAATACAGAACAAAAGCTCAGCTGTTTATTAAATCATGTTTATAAAGGAGATACCTCTGTGTTAAGCGGGGCATGTTTAGTTGCTTTGATACTCAACATCCCTTTTTGGATGATGTGGGAGAAAAAAAAATCATATATTTATACTTTTCATTTCTTACCCCCAAAGCATTCTATATTTCACTTAAAACGATAACAACATAAATTACCAAAGCAGATAAACCATTATAGCAATTATTAAAATTATTATTATTATAAAAAAGCAGAGATGTGAACTCCACTGTATACTTGTCAAGATATACTAAAATAAAAAAAATAATTAAAATAATTAAATCACAGTATTTAGCCTATAATAACACATGAAATACCTCTGTATCAAGCGAGCGATGAAGAAAACAGTTACTTTGATATTCAGCATCTGATTTGGTTGATATGGGAGAAAATTTAATTATTTGAACAATTTGCATACTTACTTGCTTACAAGTGTAATGAAGGTCTCACTTGTCGTGGATTCACTTCCAGGTCTGACAGTGTCTTCAATATGTAAGGAGTCTCACTTTTAGGGTCGACAGCCAATTAAATATTCGTGGTCTCACTCAATCCGTTTTGAGCAGTTGGCCAAATATTGTAAAAGTGGTTTCACTTTTTGGCCTGACAGCCAAAACTGGACATCTAGCTTAATGTAAGGGTTTAACAGCCCAGCCGAGGTTTAGAAATTTCTTGAACATTCTTGCTTTTATACTATAAGGAAGTGCAGTAGCAAAAATACTCAACGCCCCACCCTTTAGTTTGGAAAAAAAATGCTAACAATTTTTCAATAACGTGTGTGCGTGTGTGGGTGACGGCGATAACCTAATTTCTCGAGATCCAGGGAGAAGGCGTAACTGACCCAGTTCACGTAGACGGGCTTAATCCCGACATATTTTAATACCCGGACACATCGTGCAGACGTCTCGAGATCTAGCGCGGGAGAGACATCCCACGTGACCAGCTTGGTCACTGTGACGAATCGAACGTCAAAACATGCAGTTGGTGTATTTAAACAAATATGTCTGCATTTTGTTTTTTCGTGTTATTTATGAGGCCAGTAGTATGTAAGAAGAGTAAAAACGGTTTATTTTTTTTTTTAACATGAAGACGTTATTCAATTAAACTAAAAATTCCATTTACGGGACCATCTATGAATGACGTCACTTTAAAAAAAAAAGATTTATTCCAACCCCCCTCACCCTAAAATGACATCCCATCTCAGCCTATAGCGCCCCCCCCCCTCAAAATAGCGGCTTTTGTTTTTTAAAACTTCGATTTCTTTATAGAATATTTTACTGACCTTGGTCAACCTAGCGTATAATAATAATTAAATTCTTGTTACGATTTTTACGAAAATATTTAAAAACACGAAATAACATAAACGTTAGTGTTTAAGTTGTTTAACATTATTTTTTAAAACTGCCAAAGTGTATCGTCACACGTTTTGAAACCAGAGGCGTAGCTACCCCTCCCGGTGCCCGGGGCGAACTTTCATATATATATATATATATATATATATATATATATATATATATATATATATATATATATATATATATATATATATATACACATATATATGCGTGTGTGTATGTGTGTGCGACAGTCTGGAAAAAAATTAACAATTACGCTGATTGTCGTTCGCTAAAACTTCACTGGACGCCAATTAAATTCCCCTTAAGATGCCGAAACGAATAAAAAGTAGAAAATCAAAAGAGCTTAGAACAGTGGGCTCCATCGAACTCGAGAGGTTCGGTAATTCAGTCACAGGGCTTCCGCTGAGGTCAAGACACACACCCGACTCATAGGATTCACGATCGGATTTTGTCATTGTGGACGAAACAACTATTAAGGAGGGTTCGGTGTTTGCGCATATGAAACTGGTGGGGTTCGGTACTCCAAAAAGTTAAGAACCACTGCTTTAGAGTGTATTTTGTAGAAGGTGCAAGCCTTATTTGGTCTACTTTTGGTCGTGTCTTTAGAACAATTTCGATAATAGCAAGCCAATATTGCAATTTTGAATTATCAGTTAGGTTGAACAAAGTAATAATCAGTACAATATACTAATTTTTTTCTCTCTTAAAATTTTGGCAAAGAGCGTCGCTTCCCATCCACCCGCTCCGACAGTCTGCTATTTTACTGATCGGATAGCGCTACAAGAATCCGTTATATTCATTTCTTTTTAATGCAGTGATCCAGGCAAGATGTAATGCAATCAAGTAAAAGTATCTGATCTATCACGATCAAGTTGAGAGAATCGTAAGAATCGTACAAAGAACTAGTCACGTTATTACTTAGCAAATCTGGGTAGTGAAATCGTACATTAAGTGTTAATACAATTGATTTTTTTTCTAAGTGTTAAAAGAGTTATCTAGCAACCGATCCAGTACAAATCCTGCGATTTTTGTTAGTGAAAAAGAGCCCCACCATCTTGGACAAAAATGGTAGAGCGGATTTTAAACGTCACTAACTCTTTTTTACTTTCTCGTATATACGAAGTATAGAGAAAGTCTTGTAATCGTGCACAAAAATAACATAAAATTTTGACAGTTTTCACCGTTTTACACCTCAGTCCTTCATCACATCCAGAGTTTCTTCCAGGCATCTGCTTCCCCCCCCCCCCCCCACCGAAATATTTTTACCCCCCCCCCCCCCGAACGAAATGAAATTTATATAATTTATAAAGAAAATATATACTTTTAACAGTGTCCGCCCCCCCCCGAAGTAAGTCTACCGCCCCCCCCCCAGAAAATTTCAAGTGCCCCCCCCCCCCCCGGAGAAAAATGTCTGGAAGAAACACTGATCACATCCGGAGTATAGAGGACTTATTTTAATCAAGCAAAAATTATAAATACAAATATAAAAACAATTCTGCGTTTTATGCGTTATCGACTCGGAAAAACTGGACTTTGCAATTCTGTCCGTATGTCTGTGTGTATGTATGTCGGTGTGTCTGTAAACACGATAACTTGAGTACGGTTAAAGCTAGGTTGATGAAATTTCATATATAAGTATTTTATCAAAATCGTAGATCCGTATCAACTTTTGAGCGATTTCCGATAACCGGAAGTGGTACTTTTTTACTTTGAATTTTTCAAAAGCCTATAACTTGAGTGCTATTTCAGATAAATAAATGAAATTTCACATGTAAGTAAAAGATTCTATTCTATTTTTAAAAGTTTAAGTAATTAAAAATCATGTCTATATTCCAAGTTATATAAGAATATTTAACTCACTTCCTCGTCAGTCTGTGTCTAGATCGGAACGCCGGAGCGAAAATTCGGACACTTCTACTTGACCGATACGGTTCACAGTTGGCACGTGGGTCAAGACATTAAAACAATGCAATCTGAAATTAAATTTGACTTAATTGGATACCTAATTAATTTTTTATGAATTAATTAAAATTTGGACCGAACTAGTAGGCATGTCTATCCAAACGCGTCATCACGGCAAAAGCGCGTTATCACATTCAATAGCTGCGCCATCACGTTCAATAGGCGCGCAATGGTTTTTAGTCATGAAACTCTATT